CACGGAGCGTTGTCGCGCTGCAATATCACTCATTCATGTCTCGTGTCACATTCTAGGCGTTTTTCGAGCAATGCATGGTTCAAATTGATCAGTTGTTGTCGGTAGCGATGCCCATTAACAGTTTCGCTCAGTTTCAGCAGTTCATAGTACACGATTCTTTTCTGGTCCCATCAAACGCAGAGCATTGTCTTCTTTCCGAAACGATTTGGCCGTGCCGTCGATGTTGATGCTTCGCCAAGTGAAAGCCACGATTTTTTGCGTTTGGGATTCTCGAAATATATCCACTTCTCATCGCCAGTAGCAATTCGATGCAAGAAACTCTTTCTTTCATGTCACAAAAGCAAAATTTCGGAAGTGGCTCTTCGATTTTCCATCTGTCTCTCAGTCAAATCATGCGGCACCCATTTTCCTTCCTTTTGAATGTTTCCTACGGCATATAAACGTTTGGAAATACCTGTAGGCGTCGGCAACGGCGGGTACCACGCGCGCCAACGTTCTCGCCCACAAGAGGGTCGAAAGTTTTGAGTTTATTTTCAAGGAAACACGCGCACCCGTATCCCTGATTACGTAATCCCACCGCGTCAGGCCGCACCACGAGAGATCCTCGAGGCGCGGACAATAATCTGACAAGAATAGACGTGCAAAAGAAAACTTTGTTATCGCGTATCTAATAATAACAGCACGCTCGCAGCACGAACAGAACGCACGCAAGAAACGCATGCGACGGCTCGCTCGCAAAGCAAGAAACGCTCACAAGGACGATACACACACGAACACGCTGACGGCGCAAGCCGATCATGCGACGACGCTGACGACATGATCAACCGGGCGCGGCGAGGGGCGCGCGCGGAGCAAGCGCGGCGTGAAGGGCGCGTGCGGAACGAGCGCGGCGCGAAGGGCGCGCGCGAAACAAGCGCGGCGCGAAGGGCGCGCGCGAAACGAGCGCGGCGCAAAGAGCGCGTACGCGTGACGGAAAACGCACCCGCGGTAAAATACGCTAAACTGCACTCACGGAAACGGCAGTACGCGGAGGTGCACTCGCGGCAAAGCGTGCACCATTACGTGCCGCAACATATATATTTTTCATTTATTTTAGTTGTATTATCTTATGTGAATCATCGCAACGGCGACCACGACGTATATTCTTCCATACCTGCCTTATCTAATCCTGATGACCGATCTCATCCTAAAATAACAAACTAATAGATATCATATCCCCGAATTCTTGCCGAACCTCTCATCATCGGCTATGGCTACCCTCGCGGGAATTTTATCTTTTCCCTTCCCTTCCTTACCGTCATTTTTTCCTATGCTCACCAGTCAGTTTCCTGCTAGCAATCCTCAAGCGAACACCTAGCCCCTCTCTCTCTTTCGAGCGGTATTACACTCTTGTTGAGAATTATAAAATAAAGTTAGTTAACAGTCGGAGGCATAGAAGCTGATTTCTCATTCCTTCCCAATATTCGTTTCGCCGCATCATAAGCTGTGGCAAACGTAACAATTGGTGGCAGCGGTGGGATCAAGAAAACGAAATAAAAACGACACGTAGAAGGAACGTGTAAGAAGAGACAGACATTAAGAAGACTGTTAAAAGACTAAGTTATCATCGAGAGGACAAGCAGTTGAGCCTGAGGAAATTGAGTCGAGAAAACTTTATTAGTCTCAAAATTAATGAAATAGAAAACTCAAGGTCAGCCGCAATCTCAAATCAGTGGACTCAGCCAGGGACGTTGAGCATATCGCAGTCAGAGTCTGCTAACATCCTGAGATCTGATTGACCGATTAACCCCCGACGAACGGACTATAGTTCTCGAGGAAAAAGGCATAAGGACTCCAGGATCTTTCCGGAAGGAACATAGCAGCCGACATCAAGTAATCGACGAGAACGGAACTCCGTGGAAGGCTACACGTAAAAGGGTCATCAATTCAAGGACATCGTCATCCAAAGGACTTCGGAAGCATCATGCGACTCGTAATAGTAACGTAAGCTCATGAACTTTATTACTTATAGAGAAAGTAAGTCGCATCATAGTTCGGAGCATAGCTCTATTAATAATAGATCATCTTTCTTATCGCACCTTGTTAAAAATGGATCAATCAGGTGCACCAAAACCTAATGTAAACCTCGGCGTTACCGAACATAGTCGTAGGTCCTCCATCGCGACAAACAATAGTTACTTTGCTGTCCGTGAAGGATTATCGCTTATACCTAAATTCGACGGAACAAACCGGTGAGTCAATTTATCTCGGATTGTAAAGGAACTTTTACTTTAGTAGAGCCGGATGATCGAGAATTTTTCTTTAGAGCAATTCTGCAAACCAAATTAATCGGTGAAGCTGCACTGTTACGGGCTACACATACTACTAGCAATTTAGATACATTGTGCGCTATAGTAGAGAGAGAATTCAACACATATCTAAGTTTCGAGCAATGGGAATCACAAGCAAGCAATTTGCAGCAATTTAGGGATGAACCAATCAAAGATTATGTTAATAGAACGAAAAAACTTCATAAAGTTTTAGTACTTGCAATCATCAGCTACCCTGATCAAACAACAAGAGCAGGACTTAAGAGTTTTGCTACTAATAAATTAATAAAACGTTTTATAGGCGGATTAGATAGGAATATTGGGCAAAATTTACTAGCGCATGATTTTAACACTCTCGACGATGCAATTAAGAGAACCGTTAGCTTTATAAACGAATCACATTATTATACAGAAAGAATTCGAATGAACCAATCGTATAATTCGATTAATCGGTCATATAACTCATAGAGAATGATTTGCAATTACTGTAGGAAACCTGGACATATTGGAAATGAATGTAGATTAAAATCTTATCATTCTAATTTTCTTAGAAAATAAAGAATAAGTAGATTAAAGAATAAGAAGAGAAAAGCGAAAAAAATAAAGAAAGCAGAAAGATAAGATAAAGAATACCAGAAATATGACGAACAAAAAACAATGAATAATAGTAAAAGAATATAAAGAAAGAATAGAAAGATAAAAAATAATGAGGCTAGGAGGCGTGAGAATAGGAAAAGCTTTCTGTTACGTGAGATCTCTATGGCATCAAAAACGCGTCTATGTCTGAGTATCTCGGCAGGCGCTACAAAAACAATCGACGCGCATCGACGCGTAGAACAATAGAAAACCGCGCATCGCGTCATCGGGCAACGCATGCCCGTGTTGATGCTCACGGGAAAACAAATGGGGGAATAATAAGTGCGTCTAACGTCATAATATCACTGTCACAATCAATTTATTATATTTAACACGTTGACTGCCACGGAATTTTTCACGATTCCGATCTAAAGAGCCAATTTGATTTAATCATGTTATATTATTAAAAACTTTAATAATAGTACATAGTAATAACCGAAAAGCTAAAAAATGTTTTTTTTTTAAAAAACATTTTTTATTCTCTTTCCTGAGGCCATCTATTCATATTTACACTGTTATGCTACGAGTTTCCTCGTAGCTGTACAAATATGGCAAGTAATGAAGGGACGAAATAACTCGTAGTAGGCGTCCTGGGAAAGTAAACAACCTATGAGATATCTCGTAGTTGGCAGTTAACGTGTTAATAAATTCAAAATTAATTGTACCTTACATCCTTCATAATATCCTTTTCTTTATATCGTTTCTATAACGAACAAATTGTATGTACTTCAACGTTTGATTTATGTAGTAAGAGAGTATGAAAGAGTATGAAAAACAGGATGTAGCAGTGTGGAGATATAATCAAGTAATATAATCACTAGACTATGCTAGAAAGCACTACCGCTCTTGTATCGTGATTGTTAAATAATTTAATATTCTCGAGCACTGTGTTTTTCAATAGAAAAGTAACAGATGCTGGCCGAAATCTGAAAGTATTCGTTATTCCAAACCGTTATTCCAAACTGACTTCAAGACCTTTTCAAAATACTATAATAAACTATTTTTTTTATTAAATATTTTCCGAGCTATAAGATTTGAAAATTAACAGGTGAGAATTAGGTTAATTCATTATCTTAAAATAATTTGGTTGGTGGCACCACGCGACTCTCCGAAATATGTTCATTCTAGCATCACTGACAATCAGTCACATCACATTATAAACGGTTTATAAACAGTAAATGAATGGATGAGCAGATTAGCAATACAGTATTTAATGTTTAGAATTAAAATGCCAACTTATTCATCAAATGAAATTGTGGACATTTTTCTTATTCTTGGAGAACGTCGCGGGCGTTATTGGAGCCTCGGTCACTGAATTTATCATATATTGATTTCTATTTTTGGGGATTTTTTAAAGGATATTTTAAAGAATATCTTTACAAAAGCGTTTGATAATAATGTTAATCTCTAAAAGAAAAAGTAAAATCTAATGAATAAGCTAGGAAACAAAGAAATTTATCCAATAAACAGAAAGAGAATAGCAGGATAAGCATGTATGTGCTGCCCCCGCTTGGATCTAGTTGAGATTTTTACAATAAATTGACATTGATGTAAGATAATATTTCCCAAGAAATTATATTTAAAAAAAATTTTTTGTGGGAATTATAGAAGTAGAAAGAAAAATCTATAAAAATTTTTTGATATATATTTCCGAGTATGTTTACGGATATTCTGCAGTGTGCCGGGCATTATTACTATTGTGTAACGGATTGCATAATTATATTACATTAATAATGCCGGCATTTTTCACAATATTTTTGAATATAATACTCAGAAATATAGTAAACATATTTCAAATACACGAAAACTCGCCGATTTCAGGTAAAACTCATTTATTTATTACCCATACAATATTCCTATGTGCGCGAACGACGAGGAGCGAGCGAGCGCGAACGACGAGGAGCGAGCGAGCTATAAGGAAAAAGCTATAAAGAAAAAGCTCGCTCGCTCCTCGTCGCGCGCGATCGCCTCTTGTCGCTTACGTTCTGTAATGTAATAATGTTTAAATTTACGTGATACTTTTAAATAGTCAGTGGACCATAATAACGAAAAAGATATAGCTATACAAATGTGTTATTTATAGTATCATTAGATTACAAAATGTTGAAGAATGTTTCTTGCGTAACGTAATTTGAATCTAAATTCATTTTGTAGTCTATATTAATTGTTGCGATCACACACGTACATGTTAAACAATACTTTAGTATACTCTCAGTAAATAGATGTTCAATATTATTGTTGTGCTTTATATTTATTAATTGTATAATTATACTATACGTATATGAATAAGGTGTAGTGTTGCATGATATAATTACAATCAAACAATAATTTTTTATTACTGTGTGTGTATGTGTGTGTGTATAGACTGAGGAAAATAGATCAAACTTTCTGAACTTTAAAAATATGTAAGATAAAAAATATATTAAATACAGAAATTATAAAGTTTTAAATGACGCATTACATAGCAATACTAATATAACCTTGAACATTGTCATCAAGATTATGGGAAAGTCCTTCCCACCTTGAATTTTTTAAATGGAAGCCTCTATTTTTTATTGCATATTTTTGTAGCTTACCTAGAAAGTTTTCCAAAACATTATGCATAAAAACGTATAACATATAACAAAATGTTTTTGCGTTAAATACTTTTAGAGTTATGAGACTTAAAAGTTACTTGAAAGATATTTGAAAGTACCACCGGTAACGTTATTCAGTCGCATGGAGATTGCACTGTCTAGTAATGATATACTTCAATTATTCAACTATTATTTATGTAACTTTTAGGACTGGAGTCGAAATACACAATCTGATTGTATAAGCAAATATTTCCCTTCAAATCTAACAGCTTTTGTGTATAGATCATTTTTTGTCTAAACAACCATAATCATCTCAACATAATCAAGGGGGAGTCCCAATTTTTTTGACTGAAGAAATCTTAATTACAAAAATTGTCGGGTATTGAAACACCTGTGAATCAATTTACATAATAAGATTAAATGTACATTTCTTGTGTCCGCGCACATAAGAGATATAAATCCAATCATATGCAGTACACCTTAGGTAACATTATATCGGTGGTACTCTAATTTTCAAGCGTTATAACTCTGATGAAATATACTTAACGCAAAAACATAATATTATATAATAATTTATAATAATAATATTTTTTCTATCATGTATATTTCCAAAATTATTCAGGTGGTTTGATCTCTTTTTCCCACCCTGTTCCACCAAAGTTCTGAGACACCCTGTATATATACAGGTATGCTTTGTGTGCATCTTCGTGTTTATATCTGTATAGATATATAAATAAATCTGTTATAGCTTTATTGATTGACAATGTGGACGAATCCATATTAAATTCTAATCGTCTTATATTGCTTAGGACATGGTTCCACGTCATTCACTGCATGTCGATAATTCTCCCAAACTTTCTGTACATTGAAACAAACAGTTCCACCACCTCGCATATATTGAGTGTCCTGCAAAATAAAAAGATGCAAAATTTAATACATTATAGTTTTATTATTCAATTAATACATTATAGTTTTATTATTCAATTAAATTGAATTACAATACTTGAGAATAGATGGAGAATACTAATTATTTTTTTTTAATACACACTTGCCACGAAACACTTTCTCTTTGTATATTTTTATTCAATTAATCGCTCTCCGTATGAAGATTAAATAGCGAATAGCACGCAAATAAGAGATATGATATATTCTGAGATAGTACAAGGCATTTTTTGGGAAAATTAAAGGAACTCGAACAACCCGAACAAAATGATGAATATCAGTTTATGGTTTTTCATTGTGTTGTATTGTACTAGTGTAGATTTTCGGCTATCCAACAATAAATAAATAAATAAATATATATATATATATATAGGGTGTCCCATTGTAAACAGTCGGTTTGAATATCTCAAAAATTGAGCCCGATAGACAAAAATGTTTTAAACAAAAGTTGCATGGTTTTGAGGGGTCCACATGATGAAAATATGAACTTGACCTTGAGTGACCTTCTCCAAGTAAGAGTAAGGTCATCTTAATTTTTTAAAATGGAATCTCCTATTTTTCATGTCATATTCTTATAGCTGACTTCAAGACTTTTTCAAAATACTATAATAAACTATTTTTTTTATTAAGTATTTTCCGAGCTATAAGATTTGAAAATTAACAGGTGAGAATTAGGTTAATCCATTATCTTAAAATAATTTGGTTGGTGGCACCACGCGACTCTCCGAAATATTGTTCATTCTAGCATCACTGACAATCAGTCACATCACGTTATAAACGGTTTATAAACAGTAAATGAATGGATGAACAGATTAGCAACACAGTATTTAATGTTTAGAATTAAAATGCCAACTTATTCATCAAATGAAATTGTGGACATTTTTCTTATTCTTGGAGAACGTCGCGGGCGTTATTGGAGCCTCGGTCACTGAATTTATCATATATTGATTTCTATTTTTGAGGATTTTTAAAGGATATTTTAAAGAATATCTTTACAAAAGCGTTTGATAATAATGTTAATCTCTAAAAGAAAAAGTAAAATCTAACGAATAAGCTAGGAAACAAAGAAATTTATCCTATAAACAGAAAGAGAATAGCAGGATAAGCATGTATGTGCTGCCCCCGCTTGGATCTAGTTGAGATTTTTACAATAAGTTGACATTGATGTAAGATAATATTTCCCAAGAAATTATATTTAAAAAAAATTTTTGTATGGGAATTATGGAGGTAGAAAGAAAAATCTATAAAAATTTTTTCCTCGAGAACGGCCGAACCGATTTTAATGAAAAAAATATATGTTATGGATTTCAATGCCACAATATTATCACAAAATTATGGAATTTTTTTCAAAAAATACAGTTTAAAAAAAATTTTCAAAATCTTTTTGAATTTTTTTTATGTTATGCACTTGAGGCACTATCACCATTTTCTCCCTAAAAAATCTTTAGATATTCTAGAATAACATGTCCGAGTTTCAAAACGTTCGGAAGGGTAGTACATAATTTAAAAATGTGAAGATCTTGAGTGCGTCACGTACGGCGTATGGCGCGCTGTATACAGTCCTTTGCTCTGTATGCAACAGCATCTTATGATTCATTGTGTGACTAGGAATAATTAAATAACTGGCCAAATTTTTTTTTAAAAGACTTAAAATACAAAATATTATATTTAGTATAACGGCAATAATTGTTTGAAGAATTGAAAAGTTGAAGTGAATTGTTTACAGAATCGTATAATTTATCTGGCCAAGTCATTTATTCTAAATCTGGCTAAATCTCTAAACCTCCTCACAATTTACAAACTGAAAACGGACAAATTGAAAACAAATCTATACAATTTTTCATTCAAATGCCTGCGATCAGTCTACAATAAGTGTAGTTTCTAAGGTCTGCTACGGGGAGGTTGCAATATGTTTTTAGCCTCTTTATTATGAGATATTTGTTTATCGTGAGTCTCCTCGCCTTTCACAAATCGGGGTGCTTTTTAACGTGAGTCCCCTCGCCCCTTACAAATCGGGGTGCTTTTTAATGTGGGCCCCCTCGCCTCTCATAAATCGGGGTGCTTTTTTAATATGAGTCCCCTCGCCGCTCACAAATCGGGGTGCTTTTTTAATATGAGTCCCCTCGCCGCTCACAAATCGGGGTGCTTTTTTAATGTGGGTCCCCTCGCCTCTCATAAATCGAAGTGTTTATTGTCTGCAAGATTCAATCCTCATCGCTGTCATTCTCGATTACAGGAGTAATATTATCCTCCTGAAACATTTTACTGAGAATTTCAGCTGGTTTTAAAATTTTGGACAAATATCTGGCATGAGATAAATAGTAAACTATTGCAGCAATATGTGAACAGCAGCCAATAGTTCTTCTTCCGTTTGCGCAATCACATGCATATTGCAACAGACCTGAAATACCGACACTATTGGGCTTATGTTTCACGAAACACCGATACATTTTTCGAGAAATATGACGCGATTGAACTTGCAGTTTTAAAATATTCGTTTCATCTTTAACGAACTGCAGGTTAACTTTTCCATTCTTATCAATCATTTCAGCTAAATAAGATACCGTCTGTGATAGTTGATAAGTTCCAGTGAACAGAATTTTCAGATCTTTTTCGGTCATTTCAGAGAAATCTAAAAGGTCATCTGATGAGATACTTTGGAACATTATTATTTTACGTAACCTTTTCCCTCGGCCTTATCAGCTAAAGAATTTTCAATATGTCTCCGGGCTTTCATCCTTTCCAAAATCTCATTTGAAACATCTGCGTCAGATTTTAATCTTTTCCCGAATAGATTATTCAAAAATGATGCAATTCGAAAATAGGTTCCAACTTTCGGGAGCATTTTATTGTCTAATTTATGGTCAAGCATTCGGTATTTTTGTTTCAGTATTCCATGGACAACTTCTACTGCCCACCGAATTTTCGTTACATAGCGAGACTTATTTGATTCATTTGTGGTCAATTGCTTTCGTTTCCCTTTCAATGCAGGCATCAACACTTTAATCTTCTTAAGCTCTAACTCAGCCTTGACGTCTCGAAAACCATGATCGAGAACTGCATAGTCATCCTTTTTCAACAATTTGCACAAGCTATTTGGATCTTGTAGGAGAGATTTTAGGATCTCTGCGTCATTTACATTTGCAGGATATGGTCTCAACATATCAACTACGTAGCCGTCAGTTGTGCAAATCGTGAAAGACTTGCAAAATGGGACATTCTTTTACTCAGAAAATGATTTTCTTTGAAACCTTGAACCTTTCCTTGAATTCATTATTCATACTTTTTTGATGACGAGCATATGTCCCATCAAAGATCAACATTAGATTTTCGTGACAAGTATATAAATTCTTGGCAATTTCAATCGTATGATTTTGTATAAGGTCGTTTCTGTTGGAAGAATTTAATCCGAAATGAAAGGGTAAAACGTCTTTCTCAAATGACTCAACTATTGCTGATGAATATTCTGAGATAAGTTGTTCATTTTCTAATCGTAAAATAGAAGCAAGAATTTTATTAGAATTGCCAGTGCGAAGTTTAAAAAGAAATACTACGAGTGCCTGAGTTACGGTACGTGTCTGTCTGTTTCGCATTGAAGTCATCATGTCTCTCAAAACTATGATATTTTTTCAGTTTAATCCTGTAAAAACAAGAAGTTGCTTTTCGGAAAGACTGTAATCTCCAAGCTTATCATATAGGGTGGAATCACATTTGATTGACTTTCCATCATTTTCGATAATTCCGAAGGACTTACTTGACGAATTAGAGTACGAGGGTGGTCCGATAAGTACTTAGCCTACAAAAGAAAACGAAAATTTTGGAAAAGTGGTGATTTATTTCTCAACATAGTCTCCTTTTAGCTCGATACACTTGACCCAGCGATGCTCCAACTTCTTTAACCCGTCTGAAAAATACGTTTTCTCGAGATGTGCAAAGTAGGCCTCCGTGGCGGCGATGACCTCCTCATTCGACTTAAATTTCTGCCCGGCGAGTGACTTTTTCAAGTTTGGAAACAAAAAGAAGTCGCACGGGGCCAAATCTGGAGAATACGGTGGATGGGGCAGCAGTTCGTAGCCCAATTCGACCAATTTGACCGTGGCGAGGGCGGAGGTGTGAGCCGGTGCGTTGTCATGGTGGAAGAGCACTTTTTTCTTCGCCAAATGGGGCCGTTTTTTCTGCAATTCGGCGTCAAATCGGCCCAATAATTCGGCATAGTACAGCCCTGTGACCGTTTTGCCCTTCTCCAGGTAGTCGATGTAGATCACATCGATGTAGACCTTGTGAATTCCAGAAAACGGTGGCCATCACCTTTCCGGCCGATAGGACACTCTTCGCCTTCTTCGGAGCACGTTCGCCGGGTGAAGTCCACTGTTTCGACTGTTCCTTGGTCTCTGGTGTGTACCAGTGGATCCATGTTTCGTCGACGGTCACGAAACGACGCAGAAACTCCTTCGGATTGCGCTTAAACAGCGTCAAACACTGCTCTGAAGTGGTCTCACGGTTGCGCTTGTTGTCCGGAGTGAGCAAACGCGGCACCCATCGCGCCGACAGCTTTTTCATGCCCAAAATTTCATACAGGATATGACCCACGCGGTCTTTTGAGATGCCTACTGTCTCAGCTATCTCGCGCACCTTCAATCGGTGGTCTGCCAATACGAGATCGTGGATTTTTGTCATGTTATCCTCCGTGGTAGCCGTTTTACGGGGCACCTGGGCGTGGCTCATCAAAAACCGACGTGCGACCACGTTGAAACTCGTTAAACCAATTTTTGACGGTCGCCATCGAAGGAGAAGAGTCACCGTACACAGCATGCAAGCGCTCTTTGATTTCGCTGCGCGATTTCCCTTCCAAAAACAAGAATCGAATCACCGACCGATATTGCTCTTTTTCCATTTTTCTAAAATCCGCGGACACGCCCGCTTCCACACGCGGTCAAAATAAAACTACCAGTCCGATTCGGCTG